GACAGGTTTGGGTTACATGTAGTTTCTTTTATGCTTTGGGAAGCTGCGTAGGTGCTGGTTTCAGCTAAATTGTTATTTTTTGGACTATGTCTGTATGCGCATATATTTTAGGTTTGTTAATCAGCCTTATAATTTCTTCTATAGCTTTGTCCTCTCCGAAGTAATTTTACTCACAGTGTATTTTTAATCCATCGGAATTTGTGCACACACATTAGGTGGAGGTCGAAGCTATAAAGCTCAAAAAGTCGGTTATCTTTGACTGCAAGAATTTGTTGTACCCTCACACAGTTTATACTATATCTTAAAGGCAACATAGTCCCATGAATGTATTCTCTATTTAGCCGCAACTTTCAAACCGCTTTTATATGTGTCCCTTCTTCCACAGAGCATCTGCGTTTAAGGCCTTACAAAAGGGGTGCCCCAATTTACGCTATCTGGGAATCAGAAACTGTCCCGGCATCACAGGGTAAGAAGCTACACAGCTGTATGAAAATTCTGAGGTTTTTTATTGTACTGCCGAATGTAAAAAAGGTTGGACAAAGTCGGGGAAGACAAAGTTGTTGGATAAGGTTTACTCAGGCCGGAAGTCGTCAAGTCTACTGAGCGAGCAGTTACAGCAAGCCATGCCATTGGGCATGTTTTGTGACAGCCGTTGAAGTTGTTAGGCGTCGCGTGAAAACTTTGTCGCCTACAACCAATCAGCGGAGGACTCAGCATCGATTGGCTTCGATTTCTCTCGGAGACGGAGTCAAGATTTTCATCATCCCACCGGAGAATTGACGTGTAGTTGGAAGTGGGAGTTATCGGTCGCTATCACGAGGTCCAGACTAATAATAGCGGGACAAGGCATAAATAAGGCAAAAAGTTATATCTGAAATCAAACAACCTGACAGTCAGCAGATACTACGCGCAAGCTTAAAATTTGAGTTCACATCACTGCCACACTTTGGACACGAAATGCAAACATGTTCAGCTCAGCTGAAGGCATGCTCCACTTTGTGACACGTAGCATTCTGGACGATATTTCACGGGAAATTCCACGGTGTTTGGAAAGGTGACAAATAGAACGGTAATAGATTGTTTACAACCACAATCACCGTACCGTTCAAACATAGAGAGATACTTGCCCGCTAGATGAAACCTGTGTGAAGTATTCGTTATATTAATTGGGATCTACGAAACTCAATATTTTGTTGGTTTTGATTATTCATTCATATTCGGCTCCCCTGGTATCGCCTTATCACATTTTCATCCGTTTTTCCACAGACCAATGGTGGACAACCTTAACTCTTGGATAGAAACAGTGGATTACCAATTCAGACGAACCAAGAAATGAGTATTAGCGCTCCTGCCCCTGGAAAAATGTTGTGGCTGAATCTAAAGGTTTTATACGAATTGTGTTCCCGTTCGAAAATCAAATTCTTCTGCATGTTTTCTGTCAATGCTGAACAATAATTGTCTCTGACTAAATCATGGCGAAATCGTTTGTTTGAGATACAGTAATTTTCATAATAAACTACTTCTTCAATGGCACCAACCTTTTATTCATAGAACATTAATGAATTGGTTGGACAATGAAGTCGCACTTCAATCCTCAGGTTGAACTGAACGTATATGCGTCCAATTAAGGCCTGTCGATTATTCGCTTCCCCATCAGTTTTGACAATCTGCCATAGAAGTCACTCATCACAAGACCTTATTTGGCTGCCATTCGGTCGTAAATGAAAAAGAGAGTGAAGCAGAGTTCTCTGTTCGCCCAAATTCGCTTCATCAGTGGATACTTCGTGTAATTAATGCATCCATAGCGGAACTTACGGGAAGGCACTCACTTTTCGGTGTAAGTAAACCCCCTCCTTTGATTAGGACTGCCTGTTCGGAGTCTAAACAGAAGCAAACTTGCAGTGCACCGGGTACCCTACTTGTTTAATTTGCCAAAAATTTGAAATAACCACTGACGAGTATAAGGAGACAACAAAATATATGAACCAATCACGTAACAGTATACAAGTTTCGGCAGTCATCACATCCCCACAGCGGACACATGCTATCGCCCAGATGCTGCAATTTCGGGAGGTTGCAATATTCAGTATGGACATGTAGTGACCCTACTTTGAGTGCAATGCTCAACCTCTGGTTTCTCGCAACTGTTAGAATGTGCCCACCAGTGTCTGCCGACCCCAATCCGGTCTGGCCAATCACCTTCATGAGACTGACCCACACATGACATCGCTGGGGGGCGCTGAACAGCTCCCGCGGTCGCATACTTCCGAGACCGGCCTCTAAGATGCGGACGCATGCTCACCCAACTGCCAACTTCCTACGACCTATTCTTCACTACCTCTG